GAGTGGATGAGCTGGCTCATGTACCATGAAACCAGCCCCAGCTTCATCCTTGCATCCCAGCCTTCAAAAGACAGCAGGATTGTGTAAGGATCTGTGCTCATACAGCATCTGAGATGCAGCTTCCTTTCACCTACCTCCTTCGTCCCCTTCCTCCTGGCCCTGCTTTTTCATTTCTGACAACTTGCTTGTATTGTGTGGGATGCTGGAGGTGGAGGAAGAAGCCCGGAGAGAAATCCCAGCGCTAACTTTGCACATCGGCTGCCACCCCATGAGCACCATCTAGCTGACTCCTAATACAACAGCATGGGAGGCTGAGCAGGTGCAGACACTGAAATTCAGTGGAAGGAGGTTTCCATGCTACAGGCTGGGATGTAAGCTGTAAAAATACTGTGAAGCACCTGTAAGCCTGATATCCATATAAACTGCTTGTCACAAGCACGCGTCTGGTTGTCTCACGGTGCAGCAATGTGGCAAAAGCATCTTCTGCAGTGGAGTGTCTGCACAAAACAACTTTCCCAGGCTAAGAAGCAGGGTTTTTCACCTTTTGTACTGTATAAATATCAAGAGTATTGCATCCCATTTGTTTTCAGCTGATCAATTCTCTGTAAATACAGCACTGTGCTGAGGAAGAAGCACTGAACTGAAGCCTGAAAACCTCCTTTTGAATGCACTGTGTGATTTCTCATCTGAGAAGCAGGATTGGGAACTTATTTATACCATTTTTCTTCCAAAAGCATTCTGTAAAGATGACTGAATTACTTCTTGTATAGTAATATGAAAATGAAAAATTCTGTCATAGGAAGGGGTTTTACTCCCTTTTGAAGGAGAACTGTAGTTCCCTGGGTTGTTTTTTTTGTAGGTTTGGTGGGGGTTTTTGTGGTGGTGGTTCTTGCAGATTTTACATTTCCAATCCTGATATAAAAATTTCCCTGGAATGATGACAGCCTACCATTCTAGAAGTACAGCTTGTTGTTAAGTGTTAGCACTGCACTGATATGTGTGTTGGGGGGACTGATTTGCATTGTAGAAATGGAGAGATCAGGGATCCACTGCACTGAGCACAACTGTGAACTATGAAATCATATCTTCTGTGTCTCTTCCAGCTTAAGCAGGCATCTGTTCATTCTTTTTTTTTTTAATTCATATCCATAGCTCATGGGTTCATCTTTTCCCAGGCAAAGACAAAATACTGGCTTTCCTTACACGTATTCTGCTTGGCTGACTTCAGTGCAGAATCGTGGCGTGAGGAAAGATGCTAGGTGGGAATTGGGGGAACATTGCGAGGAAGTGTGGACGGATTTTGTTTGTTATTTAGTATATGAAGAGCATCTTACAGTCTGACTGCTGTTCATCTGGATTAGAAAATTTCAGATTACATTAGGCATTTCCCTGTAAAAGTTTATATTTCAAATGAACAAAAAGTATTGAGCACTGAGTGTAGCAGGCACCTAGTTGTATGGCCCAAAGACTCCAGAGTGAGAAGCATGTAATTAGTCATCTGCCCAGTAAATGCATGAAATTCAAGAGTTACTTATGTGAGCTACATTGATGGATTCTATGAACAGTGCAGCTTGAAAATTTTTTGTTATTAAAGCCAGGAGGAACTGGAACCACCTGTAAAAGTACACAATATCAGCTCACACATCCCTCAGGTGCACAAATGTCAATCTCAAGCGTGAGGAGACAGCAACTCACTACACCACCAGCAGCTACATTCAAGTCTGGGTTATGTTATGGTTTTTTCTCTTTTAGGCTGTCTCAGTGTTTTTTAAGGAAGGATGATAAAAAACCTTAGAAAAATTTATAGCTTGCCAGTTGATGGGACCAGCTTTCACTTGATAGGCGAGCACAGTTGTGCCTTCCACACAAAGGTGCTTTCTGCATCAAGTTGGCTGTCCCCATTAGCCACACTCTGGATACCACTGTTTCAGTTACTGATCTCTGCATGGTGCTGCTAGTGAATTTATGGCTTGCCCACTGCCTACACTCCTCCTTAACTGTTACTGTTATTCTCTGTCCTATCAAAATCGATTTGGTTAGTAGTGCTTCATTTGAGGCTTGCTCTAGTTCATGTAGTAGTGGCTGGATGATTTGAAATGACTTTGGCAATTGTCTCCTTGCACTGGCCAGTATCATTGAAGCTGTAAGAGTTGGGTGTGAGTTGGTAGACTCATCCACTGTGCTAGACTCTTTATACAGCTAATGTTTAATTCAGTCCAAGCAGAGATTCTTCAGAGCTAAACAGCATGAGGGTTGACAGCACTAGTAAATACCTGTAACTAATGTTATCTTCAGTAAGTAACATGTTAGCAAAGCTTGCTTCTTGACAGCTGGCTATCTCCCGCCATTAGCAAGAACATGGTTCTACAACCTGCAGGAGAATTACTACAGGGTTACCAAGGCAGGCTAGAAATATTTTTATTTTTTTAAGGGAATAAATGATAATTTATAGATATATTCATTGTGGAATTGGTGTCTTGTTTCTTTGAGAAAAAAATGTATCTCTTCTTTCACTTTTTCAAATACCTAGTTTAAAAATGACTTCCTTCATCTCTAGCCATCCCTTAAGGTTTCTTTTAAACAGGGTTGTTTTAAGCATAAAAATTGTGTGAAAGCCTGCGGGTGATCCTCATATCAAAAGACTGATGTGATTTTTATTTCCTGGAATGCACTCCCCAAACACCTCACTTGCAGGGCTGGGTTCTTCTGTGCAGGAGTAAGAAGCAGTGGTCCTTTTTAAAATGTTCTGCCTTCAGTGACTTGAAACATGCTATAAGAAGTCACAGACACTCAGGTACTGATGTAATTAAAGATGTAAATGAATGCCTACATGGATAACAGTTACTGACTTAAATTTTGTGTATGTTGACCTGGGAGTTAGGACAGGCATATATTTCCAATCCCCCTTCACCTGCATGGTGATGCTTCTCCCATGAAGGGCTTGTGTGCTACTAAAGAGCTAATGCAGGAGAACTGGATTTCTCTCCCTCTCCATGTCTGATGCTCCCAGTCTGGCCTTTGGCGAATCTCATGATTTTGCCTGGTGTCATGCTTGATCAGTGATATAGCAGTAATGGTGTCTCTCTTCTTCCCTCAGTTGTTGCATGAAGCAATTTATTGGTATTTGTAAGAGAGTCCAGTATGATGAAGGGAGCATATATATTCTTTGCTCCTAGGGGAGCAGTCAGTTAAATGCACACAGGGCACAAAGACTGAGTAAAATATGAAACATCTGTGAATTTATTCCTTGTAATTGCATTCCATATCATACGTTTCAGTACCTTCTTGTAAAATAGTGCATAATCTTTAATGAATACAAAACTATAAGGTCTCCTTTGGATTTAAATTCTAAGTGTTTGGAGAAGTCTAGCTCACTCAAATGATTTCATTGGCAAATCAAAATGCACACATATGTACCTTTCAGAGCTTAGTTTTGTAAACAAGGCATCATGTTCTTCTCTCGGGGAAGCTGGCATAACTCTGTGGTAACTTCAGTAGATTTACTATTTGGATAACTGAGAGCAGCATTTGACCTAAAGACTCCAGAGTGGGAAGCATGTAATTATTAATTTGCCCAGCAAGTGCAGTGTACTTGGAAAATGTAAAACTAGAGTAAAAACTTTGTGCGTATCGATTTTTAGTCTGTTTTAACATCCACGTTTTTCATCCCTCTCTCATTCTTTTCTTAGTTAAGAGTCCTTTTACATGCTTGCACATCAGGGATCTCATAGAGTCTTCCTTTTCCAGATACAAAGTCTTAGTGCTATTTTTATGTGGACAAAGCCCCATCAATTGTGCTTAGTAAGAGATTATGAACAGGCAGAGCAATGGCCTTATCAGGGTCTCAAGGGCTTTGAAATATTAAGTTTGATTTCTGTTGGAAGTTTTTCCTGTTACCTGCTTTTCCAATGAAAACATGCTCAGTGAAAGGAATGCCTTATAAATGGCTTCACTGCTTTAAAATCACTACAAAAATTCCCAGCTGATAGACTGTGTACTGTGACTGTCAGTCAACGACAAGTGAATATATTCACTTATCCTACAATACCGTAACCTTAATATACGATTATTTTCCTTTGTGCATTGGAGAGGGATTTCTGTTGTTCAAGCAGCAGCATGCAGTCACATGCCACAGTTGAGCTCAGTTGCCTACCACTCTTTAAACATTTAGTAGCTCTGGGTGGCCAGTGTTGTCTGACCTTCATTTTTTCCTCAAACAGCATATTCTGGGACTTAGATTTTCAATTTCTTTCAGTCACTGAAACAGATATACTGATGGGGCTCAAAATTTTAAATTTCAAATTATAGGCTAAAGGTAAAATCATGAATAAAACTTCCTTGAGAGCTCCAAGTTTAAATCCTTTGAGCATTTAAAAAAATGTATAGGGGCTACTATAGGCTACTGAAAACATACTTGAAATGCCTGCAAAAAATCCCAGGTGGAATAAGTGTAAAGGCCTCATCTTCTGAAATACAATGTTGTTATATAGAAGTTGATACAGAACTATTATAAGTAAAGTGCATTAGCACATCCAGAACTAATGGTGACCTTTGCTTCAAGCAACACTTGCTGGATTTGAAATAACATTTCTTGCTGGAAACAGATTGCGTTTTACCAGGGAGGAAGGACATGCAGGCAGAAGAAGGTAGTGCCGACTTTCACTGTGCCAGGGCAGGATGTAAAAAAAGGCAACAGATCCTGAGAGTTAAGCCAGGATCATACCTGGGGCAGATGTTCACTCACGATTTTGATAGTATTTTTCATCAATCAGACATTACAAAAGAAGATTTAAAAAAATAAAAAGGAGGAAAGGAGAAAAGCACTATGTATGATCCCTTGAAATTAGAGTTGATGGCTTTGACACATTTTGGATTCAGTGTCGATCTTTGCATGAGACCAGGTGGAGGCGTTTGAACCTGTGTTCAGAGCATGTTGGGCTTTTTTGGGTTGGAATTGTTCTGTTTTGAGGTTTATTGGTTTTTTTGCTGTAACATTACAGGTTTGGCATCTCCCTGAAAATGCAGCACAATGAGAGTTCTGAAGTCTGCGAGTCAGAGATCAGTGCTGAGGACAAGATCTCAAGACTCCCTGTTTCCTGCAATATACAGCCTGTCCCTGCCTATTCATGGTTAAACCAAGGAGAAATCATTGAGGACAAGCACTTCAGCACATCAGCTGCATTGTCTCAAAGTAAGCTTCTCTTACCAATGCTTCCATCTGTCTCAGTCTGCGAGTTCCTTGCTTGCTTTAGTCCCACAACTTTTAACTGGCATCAAAACTCAGTGGCAGGCACTGTTTTGTTTCTGTTTATGCAAGGTCTGACTCCTTCTCTGTGTTAGTATGGCGTCAGCAGAGGTCCATGGCAAGGCATGACTACTGTTTGGGGGCTAGCTGGAGCCTGAAAGGACCACACAGGCTGTGATCCGGAAGCAGAACAATAAATGTTATACTGGGATGAGGCTAGGTTTCCTTAGGGATAATCTTGTCACTATTAGCATCCTTCACTCCTTTGGTTTAGAAAAAGAAAAAAAAAATAAAATAAAATAGGCAGGGGAGAAGGAGAGAAAAGGGAATGCTTCACTGATATATTTAAGCTGTGGTATGATGGCTCAGTTTTCAATCTCTTCTCTGATAACCTCAGAGAGGAAAAATACTGTAAGAATGAATTGGACAATGTGTGTATTGCTTGTTACACAATGGGCTATTATTTCTCACTGCATGTGTACTTGCCATTAGAAAAGTTTTAAGGATAGCATAAAAAACGAGGTGACAACTGCCAAAGGCATTTTAAGATTAACAAGCATAATTGCACTTCCAGATGGAGAGAAGTTCAGAAACAACTTGCTATTTTCTGACCTAAGGGTGATGTGTTTGGTTTCTGGGAGAAGCATTTACTTCCTCATTCAGTAACTATACTTCTATTCCTTCCCCACTTGCCAGTTTGTTGCTGCAGCAGTGGCATTGCAGCCACTGCATTGGCACAGCATCTGGAGGGAGCTGTTCGTCTGTTTTATGAAGATAAGGTTGCCTTGTGGAGGATGCTGAGCAAGGGCAGGGGAATTGAGGCAAGGGAATGGGGCATCAGGCAGCAGGTACAAATAAAGTGAGACAAACACAAGCACTTGGTTCTCAAATGAATCCTTATGTTTGCAAACTGATTAAAAGCTGAGCTGTTTTCTTTATTGAGGTGAGGAACAGGGCAAAGTGAGACTGCACTAAAGGTGATAAGGAGAAGTGCCTTTTTGTATAGGTAGGAGTTTAGATATGATTATTCTTTTGGGAGAAGCTTTTATGGTCATTGTGGGAAGGTGAAAGCTGATTCTCAAAAATCCCTTCTGTGTTGCCTGCTTTTTCTTTCAGATAAAAAGCTCTTCTTCATTTTCAAAGAAAGCCCATGTCTCCCCTTGACATAAAATTACACTGCTTGCTTGCAGGTTACCTGCTTTTAAGAACACCATGCATCAGACTCTTTGGTCAGGGTTGTGTGATCAACCCCAAAATTAAATTCATTCACTGCCACTTAGCATCAGATATTAAGTCATTTTACAGAAGAAGCAGTTAGGCAGACCTTCTGCCTCTTGTTCCATGATCATGTAATAGATGAGAGTACAGAAAACAGATGAAGCAGTGCCTTTACTTCAGTGTCCTTCATGCATTTCTTTCACTCTGCTTTTTGCCTTCCAGTGCGTGTGACACTAGCTTCTGTCCTGCAATCGTTCATCAGTACCATGCATCAGGTACCATGGGTGAACAGATCATAGAATCATAGAATGGTTTGAGTTGGAAGGAAAATTGAAGCTCATCCAGTTCCAGCTGCCTGCCATGGGCGGGGACACCTTCAACTAGAACAGGTTGCTCCAAGCCCTGTCCATCCGGGCCTTCAACACTGCCAGGGATGGAGCAGTTGTAGCTTCTCTGGGCAACCTGTATCAGGGCCTCACCACAGTCTTAGTAAAGGATTTTTTCCTAAGGTCTCATCTCAGTCTCCCCTCTGTCACATTAAAGCCATTGCCCCTTGTCCTATTGCTACAGGACCTTGTCAAAAGCCCCCTCCAGCTTTCTTGCCGGCCCCTTTAGGCACTGGAAGCTGCTCTAAGGTCTTCCCAGGGCCTTCTCTTCTCCAGGCTGAACAGGCCCAGCTCTCTCAGCCTTTCTCTAGAGCAGAGCTGCTCCAGCCCTCAGAGAATCTCTGTGGCCTCCTCCGGCCTCTCTCAAGCAGGTCCACATCTTTCTTGTGCTGTTGCCCCCAGAGTCGTACACAGGACTGCAGGCAGGTCTCACCAGAGTGCAGCAGAGGGGGAGAATCCCCTCCCTTGACCTGCTGGTCACACTGCTGGGGATGCAGCCCAGGACATACTTGGTTTCTGGGCTTAAGTGCACACTGATGGGTCATAGGGATCTTCTCAACAACCAACACTCCCAAGTCCTTCTCCTCAGGGCTGCTCTCAGTTCATTCTCTGCCCAGCCTATGCTTGGGATTGCCCTGACCCAGATGAAGGACCTTGAACTTGGCCATGTTGAATGGTCCCTCCTTTTAAGTCAGCAATCACTGGCTGTTGCATTTAAAGATACATTAGTATTTATCTCCCTGATATGATGAACATAACTCCTACTGAGACCAGTATTCCTTCTGCAGTGATTGGTTTTGAAAGAAGTACAATTTGTGGAAATCCTATTGCATTTTTAGAGTTTATAATTGTCATGTATCAGTGCCCCAGTTCTCTGCAAATATAATTAATTAGGATTAAAGGTTCTGCACTCATTAGGCAGACAGAGAAATACTGTAGAGAATTTACATTCCCGCATTTAACTCCTAAATGGGATACATTTGTCATCAGTAAGAATATTGTGGAATCTGCTCTGCTGATAAGGCTTCCTGGTCTAAAGTCTGTATCTCATGGTCAAAAGGGAGTGTGTCTTTGGATGTTTTACAAAGGAGCAGCAACATAAAGATCTAATTAGAGTGTGGTAACTAATTATCAAAAATACAAGATTCCTTACTATAGCATTGGGAAAAAATACCTATTTCAAGAACAAAGCCAACCCCTCTATCCTTCAATTATTTGAGTGTTATTTTTTTGTGTTTTTTAAGTATTATGACTGATTATGTAGTGTTAAGCAATGATAAAAGCAAAAGGCTTTGAAACAATACAGGCACTCTTTGAGGTTCCTGCAGTTATTGCAGGATACTAGACCATAGAAGCATAATGGCAGCCCTTTGAAGGGGTATACATTTATAAATATTACTTTTCTGAACAATATTTCAGATCAAATTTTCAAGTCTGTTGATCATATTTTAGACTTTGTATGAGCATCAATAAGATGCAGTCATGTTTTGTTCTAGTACTTAAACACCTTGAATATTAAAACACATAGCAGAAACAAATATGAAAGCGTGATTATGCGCTAATATTCAGGTCTTCCACTAAGGCAAATCCATTTTATTCTGAGACGCACAGTCTTTTTTCAACCTTGCTATTGCAAAGCTTTTTTGATGAAAGGAGCACTGACACCCTTGGATTGAAACTTAAAACTACAAACTTTTGTGCAAGGTAGATTCCAGCATCACCTCTGGCTGCTGTGAAGTGTGCCACTCCTAAGGACTCTTTGTGTGATTCTTTAAGTAACTTAACAGTATAAGGTGATCTGGTCACCTAAAGGATATTGTATAAAGCATTAGTAGCAATGAAAATTGTCAATTCAAGGAAAAGAAAACTTTGCAGTGACCTTTTTTTTTTTGTTCTACATTTGGATTTTATGATGCAGATGCATATCTTTATAGTTATGCTGTGGAGATATTTAATCACAAACTACAGTGTTATTTTCAAAGATTAAAGAGGTTTCTAAATCCTTTGTAAAGCACCTTTGAAAAAAGGCATAAATGAATTTTATGAATAGCAAATTTGTGAACCTATAATGCAGTTCTAAAAATTACAATACTGTTATGGTATCGGTATCTTCTAATGAATCGTAAGAGAAATCTGATGGCTATTTCAGTGTAATTTTTTTCTTCAATTTAAATATTCATGATCACCTTTCATTATTTCAACTCCCTGAACATTATGAAAAATGCAGATTATTTCAATTCACTTATTTAAATTTCACATGAAAAGAAAAAGTATTGAATCCTACCGAGTGACCACAATTTCCATACACGCATCACCCCAGACAGGATTTTAAGTTTGGCTTCAGCATTTTAATTCAAATGTGCAGACTTTCCTCTACAAAAATGATGAAGGCCAAAATCCTACTGTATGGCTCATGATGAAAAGGAGAATTGTTATGATGGTGTTCCACATTTTATAGGGTGTGCATTTATCCCGTTATAACACAACCCTCACAAGTCTACACCTCATCTTTCTGAAACCCTACATTTCATTCCCTGGGCGTTCTCACTGCTTTTAGAGAAATGATAGAAAATGACACTCAAGAATGTCATTAATCAGTAGGATTGGTAGGGCCATTAAAGCATTTTTTGGACTGGTAGTATTCCTGGGGCTTGCTCACTGCAAACAGCTTCTGATTTCTGCCATTGTGACTACCGCTTGCTCACTCTATTTCAGTTTTCATTCTTCCCAGTTCTCTTCAACCCAACCCATTCCTCTATTGCTAAAATTATTATTTTCCTCTGCCTTTCAAGGACTTCTCTTTACTAGCACAGTCCTGATCTTTCTACCCTCCAGGCAGACACTCGTGACGCCATTGATGTGCTTCTTTCCACTTGTTTCTCTTAATTTCACTCCTGTGCTTTCTCTTTCTTCTGTGGAAGAAGAACGGTTCCCTGCCTACGCATAGCACATCTCTTAGATACCACCAGGAGCTCAGCCTGCTCTGAGCACACCATAACAGGACTGATGCAGTGAGCACTTGTCCTCAACAGAGCAGTTTGCTGAGGTCCACTGGGGAGGAGAAAGCTTTCAGACGGGTATCTGCAGGTTTTCTCTTCTATCACTGTCTCTCACCTGGAAATGTTAAGCTACATGAAATAGTAGTTGTTTTGTGTATTTGTCCCACAAAAAAAAGGAAGACTTTGACCTACTGGAGTGGGTCTAGAGGAGGGCCACAGAAATGATCAGACAGATGGAACACCTCTCCTATGAAGAAGGGCTAAGTAAGAGACTTGGGTTTATTCAGCCTGATGAAGAGAAGGCTGTGGGAAGACCTTATTGCAGCTGTTCACTACTTCAAGGGGGCCTACAAGAAAGATGGGGACAAAGTTTTTAGCAAGGACCTGTTGTGATAGAGCAAGGGATAAGGGCTTTAAGCTACAAGAGGGTAGATTTAGGCTAGATATAAGGAAGAAATATTTTACAGTGAGGGTAGTGGAACATTGGCACAGGTTGCCCAGAGAGTTGGTGGATTCCCCATCCCTGGCAGTATTCAAGGTCAGGTTGGATGTGGTTTTGAACAACCTGATCTAGTTGAAGATGTCCCTGCTCATTGCAGGGGAGTTAGACTAGGTGACCTTTAAAGGTCCTTCCAACCTAAACTATTCCATGATTCTATGAGCAGCAATGTCTGCTTCAAGCACCATTGGACAAAATGAGTGAGTCAGAGGAGCACACCATATACCCTGAAAAATTTTTGTTGTGCAAAATTTCGGGGTTTACAATTTCATTTCCTGAGAAGAGATATTTTACTGGCTGAAGCTGTGCTAAATTATGGAAAAGAAAACCAAGTGCTATAATTGTGGGTGTTTATCACAGTTACAGGTTTTTTTTCTATTCATAGAAATTTGATCTGAACAGGGTAAATCTGTGCCCGCAATACAAATGAGATCATCTGCAAACAAAGTAAATGAAAGAGATGCTTTTATGGCTTCGTTTTATGACTCTTCTGTTTGAGGAGCTAGTCTTTACTTTCCGATTTTCTCATGCAGTGTTTGCTTTAACATGAAGGCATATAATAGTTCTTCAATTAAAACAGTTTTTGTTTGAGTAGGAAAATAAGATAGCAAAACTTGGCCGACTGCTAATCATGGCAGTAGATTTGCAGAGCAGCTACGGAAAACACCCTGAACACTATTTAATACTCATTAATACTAGTGGCATCTAGGCTGCAGCTTGGTTGGGAGTGGCCACTGGGAAAAGCTGATGGAAGGCGTGTAATTTCCTCACCTCTCCAAGCTCCTTAGTCTTTCTCTTCTTTTCCCCTAACCAGAATGTAAGCAACTTCATTTACATCTATTTATGCAACCTGGGGCTTCTGGGATTGGGAGAACAGCTCTCAGTGGGGTAGAAACCTTGAAGTGTCAATGCAGCTTGTGCTCAGTTTCTTAACAATGCTAGTTTCATAAGTTTAGGGTAAATTAACACAAGCAAGGGACTCTTTCAAAACTCCTTTGGTTGTGTGGTAGCTTGAACCCCAGAAGTTGTTGCTGGACTGCCTACAGTTTACTTGTCTGTCTTCCAAACTGTAGCTCACTAGTTACATTTGACCTACGTTAAGGAGGAATAGGTGTTTCACCATGATGCCCAAAGCAGCAGGGTTCCTGTGGACCAGCAGGAAACTGGAAGAGCATCACAAGTCCTGTCAGTGCCTACAGCAGGACTCTGGGAAAGCCCCATGTCCAGTCAGGGCCCTTGAATCCCTTTCCAGACAATCAGTATTTACAAAACCTCTTTGAAACAGCCCAGCAGCACTACTCTCTTTTAAAGAACGTGACTACGCAGAAGAGCAGGAGGTGATAATAGCTGAAACACAGATGAGAAAGCAATAAAAGTTTCATGGGACCAGGGAAAGATAAAAATTAAGCATGACTGTTCACTAGGCAGCTTCATGAATAGGAGATGGCAGCCCTTCATTTTCTGAACCTTGCTCTCTCCTGTTGTGCGTTCATGTTGGTGAAGAAATTAGGCTCCACTATCATTTGGATGTCACTGGTTGGCTGCAGCCTGTATAGTGTACACAAAACCAGGTTTACCTACTGGGTTTCAGTTGTCTCTGAGATTGCAAATGAGAAGGTTGCCAGTTCCCTCTCAGTCCATCAAAAAAAATGACGCAGCAGGTTTTGCCTTAGGTTTAGGAGAGCAGTCATGGGAAGAGTGCATGTCTGCCTTCTCTCTCTGCCCTTTCCCACCCAAGGAACTGCTGTCTGGTCTGCCTGGGCTGATTTTCACTGGCATGACTTTAACCTCAGATGACTTCTGCTGTCTATGGGAAACTCCAGTGTTTGTTTTTTGTTTGTTTTTCACAGATGGTAAATATCTAAACTTTTTCATTCTATATTTTGACATAATTTTTATCCTTGGTTGTGGGTTAGTCATATTTTCTTTTTCTCACTATTATCTGACACAGTGCCTTGTTTAAGAATATTAGAGGAGGAACCGATTAGCAGAAGCTGTGTTGTAAAATGAGGAAGATTTGCTGCTTAGTCTGGTAGGATGTGAGCATGAAACACATTTTGAAACTGTAAGTTTAAACAAAAAAAGCCTTTCATACACATAAGGAAGCTTAAACTTGCTCAGTTTTCTTTACTTCAGAGTGTCACTTACTGACCCACGCTGCTACACTTTTGTTACAAATCATAGCCAGAGTGGGAGCATGAAACTGTGATATACAGCTCTATTCAAATCATACTCGCTTTTCTACCTCTGAGAAGCTTGCTTGTGATGGAGACTTGTGAGTTATAAATAGAACATCTATATAATGAGCTGCATTGCAAAGATATGCCAGAAAATGTTTTCTGTGTGGGGAGAAATTATTTGAAAAGAGCTTTTCAGTTTTCCCCCTTTGGTGCATGCTTCTGCTGTTCCCTGTCCTGAGTAACCAAAGACTCAACCGGGGTGGTAGGACTCACAGAATCATGGAATGGTTAGGGTTGGAAGGGACCTTAAAGAACATCTAGTAAACTCTACAGAACTTGCTGGACTTGCAGGACTCTTCAGAACTTACTGCTTCTTCCCTCAGCTTTGCCACAGAACTTAATGCAGCATTTCAGTTTAATCACCTACAGAAGAAGGAATTTCTCTCAACCTAGACTGTAATTTGAGGACCAGCATGAGATAGCATTTCCACACAGGATAAGGGCTGTTTCCACCTGTGTGAAACATCTTTGAAGGTGTTTGAAGCTTCATCATGCCAGAAGCAGAGGAGAAAACTAGTTGCGATGCGAAGTTAGATTTGTTAGCCTGTCTTCTCCTTCATCTTTCTCCAGATACCCTGTGTAACAGTTGTAACAGGCAGAAACTTGCCCCTGTTTTGCAGTCCTTCTTTTCCCTGGTGTGACTGGTACCACAATCTGAGCCGCAGAGAAGAAGGAGGGAAAGCAAATATGGTCTTAGTGCCTGGGTGAGGATGAAGGCCAGTGATGAAGCATGGGTACAGTAGTTATCTAGGACAGTTTAATAACACTGCTGGTTTCTCCATAGCCCATCTTAAGGTATGTGATGGTTGTATTGCACAAGAATATTGAAATAGCTTTCTAGACAGATTTAATATCTAATAAGCAATGAGAGGAGCACCAGAGACCTGCATTCTGGTCCTGGCACTGCCACTGGCTGAGTGACCCTGAACTTGTTCCTTCGTCATCTCTCTGTGACAGTTTCCCCTCACTCTTATTTTTAATCATGGTAAATCTTGACAGGAAGAATGGCCTCTGGCTGTGTATTGGCATCCTGTGTCCTCCTGTCTTACCTGTGGTCTCCCAGTGCTGCTATAATCTCATAATTTCTCATAGTTGTAGTGATAATACTACTGTTTAATGCAAATCTGTATCATTATATTACTACTAATAGATCATTCCCACCACTCTTTTTTCAAGTTCCTGAAAATTCTTGTGTGAAGCAGTGAACAGGAGCAGGGAAGAACTGAAAGTACTGTGGATCATCTGGAGATGTGAAGTAAGCGAACATAAATCATGGAACAGTAAAATCTTAATTTTTAATGCCTTTCCTTTTCCTGCTTTTGTGATGGATTTTATTCCTTCCCCTTAAAGTTGTAGTGGAGGTTGACTGTTGCAGTCTCCATTAGGAGAACATACTCAGTTGCTATAGCAATTCTTTCTCACTCTGATATTTTATTGCACTTAGATGCTGCTGGCAAAGAAAAAAAAAGGAAGCAAACCCAAGATCCAACAAAAAAGGCATCACTGACCTCCTCACAAATGGTCATCCTCCCTGATCTCTCATTTCTGAGCAACTTTTAACTATATCTCACAGCAATCTATATTCTGGTAAACACTCTGCGTTAGGCACTATCTAGAAAGGTTTATCATTGCTTTATAAGTGGCATACTGCACACAGCAGGACATGCTGCAGCACAGTGTCTGACATAGCAGATATAGATTACTGTTAAGATAAATTCATCCTTTTTGATCTGAACATTTCACCAGCTCCAATTTGAAGTCTTGATATCACCCTGTCAACCAAAGGGGATGTTTTTAAGCAAGGGAAGAGTTATCAAAGGTTTCCCCAAAGTTCCTTTTAGAATGGTTTCTACAGGAGCAAAGATATATATTTATTGGGGGTGAATGTAGGGCTCATCAAAAGTGCTAGACTAAAATCCCCGTAGACATAAGGCCTCTGTTCAGCATCAGATACAAAACAGAAGCTTGAAGTTTTTTCTACTCTGTCAAAACCAGATACCTAAACTTTCAACTAATTAGGCAAGAAAAGGTCATTAATCCTGCCTTCTGCTGTCTGCAGGGAGCTGTGCTCTCCCACCCAGGACACCAGTAGCATCCTTCTGGGAGGAACCATTTATATGGGGCTGTGTAATCCAGCCTGGGAACCAGAGAGAAAGCAGTCTCACAGGAGAGAAATGGAGAGAAGGTAAGCACAGCATTCTTCCTCCTCCTCCCCAGGTCCTGAAGGTAGCATCATTCTCGTGGGTAAGGCACTGCCTAGAAATAGTTGTGTCCATCATCTTGGGATACACAGCCAGCGCTTCCCCTCTCCTGGGGGAAGGGCAGAACGCAAGTTGAACAGTGGTGGGAGAGGCCCTTCCCCTGCCCTTAGCTGCCCAGGTGACCGGTCAGCCTCACCTCCATCCCTGGGAAAGTGATGGAACACCTTGTCCTTGGTGCCATCTTAAGGCCTATTGAGGATAAGAGGGTTATGAGGGGCAGTCAACATGGCTTCACCAAGGGGAAATCATGCTTGACCAATCTCTTAGCCTTTTATGAGGAAATAACACGGTGGATGGATGATGGCAGAGCGGTGGATGTGGTCTACCTTGACTTCAGCAAAGCATTTGACACAGTCTCCCACAGCATCCTCACAGCTAAATTGAGGAAGTGTGGTCTGGATGATCAGGTAGTGAGGTGGACTGCGAACTGGCTGAAGGAGAGAAGCCAGAGAGTTGTAGTCTATGGGGCTGAGTCTAGTTGGAGGCCTGTAACTAGTGGAGTGCCTCAAGAGTCAGTACTGGGACCAGTATTATTTAATATATTCATCAATGATTTAGATGAGGGAATTAAGTGTACTATCAGCAAGTTTGCTGATGACACTAAGCTGGGAGGAGTGGCTGACACACCAGAAGGCTGTGCTGCCATCCAGCGAGACCTGGACAGGCTGGAGAGTTGGGCAGGGAATAACGGGATGAAATATAACAAGGGAAAGTGTAGAGTCCTGCATGTGGGCAGGAACAACCCCAGGTTCCAGTATAGGTTGGGGAACGACCTGCTAGAGAGCAGTGTAGGGGAGAGGGACCTGGGGGTCCTAGTGGACAACAGGATGACCATGAGCCAACACTGTGCCCTTGTGGCTAAGAAGGCCAATGGCATCCTGGGGTGTATTAGAAGGGCGGTGGTTAGTAGGTGGAGAGAGGTCCTCCTTCCCCTCTACTCTGCTCTGGTGAGACCCCATCTGGAATACTGTGTCCAGTTCTGGGCCCCTCAGTTCAAGAAGGACAGGGAGCTGCTGGAGAGAGTCCAGCGCAGGGCAACGAAGATGATTAAGGGAGTGGAGCATCTCCCTTATGAGGAAAGACTGAGGGAGCTGGGTCTCTATAGTTTAGAGAAGAGGAGACTGAGGGGTGACCTTATCAGTGTATATAAATATATAAAGGGGGAGTGTCACAAGGATGGAGCCAGGCTCTACTCAGTGGCAAACAATGATAGGACAAGGGGTAATGGGTACAAACTGGAACACAAGAGGTTCCACTTAAACTTGAGAAGGAACTTCTTCTCAGTGAGGGTGACGGAACACTGGAACAGGCTGCCCAGGGAGGTTGTGGAGTCTCCTTCCCTGGAGACATTCAAAACCCGCCTGGACACATTCCTGTGTAACATTATCTAGGTGTTCCTGCTCCGGCAGGGGGATTGGACTAGATGATCTTTTGAGGTCCCTTCCAATCTCTAGCATACTGTGATACTGTGAAGGAGCAGGAGAGCTGAGTCCACATGTGGAGCACTGTCCTCAGGTTCACCAGGTCTTGGAGACTTGCTGCTGCACAAAAGGGTGGTGGTACATGCCTGTTCCTGGGCTGGGCATGCAGATGCATGCAGCTCTCTCCTTCTTTCACAGGTCCCTGTGTTACTTGGAGGTTCAAGTGGGGCTGGCTATGGCCTGCTCATTCTCTCCCTCTGCATTGCTGCTGGGAAACGTTTCCATCACCAAGGCCAGGAGAGCAAGTGCAGCTCTCACTGGCGCAGGCAGGGCCTCTCCCCTCCTCCTCTGCGCCTGGATAACAGCTCATCAAAGAGACACAAAAAGAAGAAAGAGCTATTTCACAGTCCAGTGACTGTGAGATTTTGTGTAGCCAGGGTGAGGTGTGAGGGCATGATGGGGGAAGGTAGCATGCAAGGTCAACTGCTGCAAGGATGAAAGGCAAGGAGGAAAGCCTGTAGTGGCAGGCATTGCTGCCTATATTGCATGCAGTTTTGTCTTACCAGGGACTGGTGTGTGTCCCTGAGCAGAGTCTGGGTGCAGACCAATGTGTTTGGGGGCAAAAGTACTGGATGTGCAGGACAGCAGCGGAGAGAGGATTCAGAGGAATTTGGAAGGCTTTGAAACAGGGCCCTTGGTGCTGGCACTGCCACCTCCATTGTGGGCATCATCGTGCTTCTGGAAATTAACTTGGACCTACTGATTCATTGCATGAGGAGCATCTTGTAAGCATCAGGCAGCAAACCAAACATGGCACCCTGGAGTGGATTTGAATCGTGTCTGCGTATGACCAGTTGTCACAAGCCAGGTCCATTAAATCAAAGTGTTCAAATTCCACCTTCTGTTTTCAACATGAGGTTATAACTGTCTTCATTTCATCAATGCTCATATATATATATATATATATATATATATGAGGAGAATTTATGAATAGAATCATAGGATACTTTAGGTTAGAAGAGACCTTCAAAGCTCATCTAGTCCAATTCCCTGCTGTAAGCAGGAGCACCTTCAACTAGATAAGGTTGCCCAGAACCACATCCAGCCTTGAATGTCTCCAGGGATGGGGCATCTACTACAATCCTAACTCAGTTTGCTTACTGTTTATAGCACAGATAGGTGCGTGTTGCATCATTGTCACCACAGACTCCTTATTGTTTAGGTGCTTACAATTTTGGCAGATACATGCAGGCTGAAAATTTGCATGCTTGGTCCACACGCAGAACTTTCAGAGGCTGGAAGTAAAACATATTCAATGATCTTTGAGTTGGGTGTGCTTCAGTGACATGTTCCCCCCAAAACACAGCATTCTGTTGTTTGTCATTGTAGTAACATAAAAATGGGTGCAGTGAGTCATTTAAACTGTCTTGTTTTGTAACTCTTACAAAGATTTACAAATGGAACTAAAAATGGTGCAATTTTGAAATAAACTGCTTGTCATGCTGAAACAACACATCTTTTCCCAGATGTTTTTTCCCCCACAGGTACGCAGAAGACTGAGGTGTTTGACTCAATGGCTAAAAATACCTGGGCTTTTGTGAGAGCCTATAAATTGATTTGAAATGGCAAGAATTGTTGCTGTTACCTTGCTAGCAGCTATACAGCTCCTCAGGAGATTTCCTTCCCCAAGAAAACAAGTGTCTTTGGTATTGGGTTCCCTGTTGCAGGATTTTTTCTTTCCCAGCAGGCATGTCTTGCATTTACCATTCACAGGTGCTGGTCATTAAGGCCTTGAGGCAAGGGGTTTTAACTAAGCTGCAGCTGACTCAATCTTTTCCAGCTGGTAAAAGATTTGAACTCCTGTTACTTTTTCTTATTCACAAGGGTGGATTACGGTCTCCTATCAAACAAGCCTTACTGAAGCTGAAGGGAAGAGCAGGCAAACAGGGTCCTGAAGCAGAGGTCTCCAGGACCTCTTCCACCTTCCACTCTGACCGGCTTTCAGAACCATTTTGGCTGGCATGGCATAGCGCCCCTTGAGTGTTATCCAGTTCTTCATGCAAAGTAAGTAAATATAATTACTCCTGCTTTACAGGGAGGGATTGCAGCTTGACCAAGATTAAAGGGGAAGAGAAAGTGTGAAGGACTAGAACTGAGATTTCAGCCCTTATTTAGGTTACTTGATTTCAGACCATTAGCATCGCTTTTCTTTTACAAAGAATTGCTGTGATTTCTTTCTTTTTTCTTTTTGAATTTTATTTTTGGCAGGTAAGTTATACTTAAAATCTCTAGGGAAAGTTACCCCCCACCACTGTTTTAGCTGGGAGCCATATTAAATAAAAACACTGTCTACTAGGAAGGACTGTCTAGTATAATCTGCTGCGTAAGGATCATGAGAGTTACGTTTCTTTGAGCAGCTGGGAAGCATAGGCTTAAAATCCAAAGAAGTACTTATAATTTCATAATTCAGAATGTACTATCTGCAGTTCCTAGCTGTCTCAGTGACTGTATATGTGACTACTTGCCAAGTGGCTGTGCAACGTAGTGATGTAAACATTGTGGAGTTGATAAGAAAAATGTCATTTTGACAAGATTATGTTACTTTCAGTAAATATACCTAAAATTGAGAACAAGAATGCAAGTATTTTGCACAAATCTCACTTTGAACAAGTGGAATGAGGCCATCCCTTCCACCTGGGTGTCCAGCAACTGCTGAACCCATGCAACGAGGCATTTTGGTATGGTGCCTGTTGCAGCTGTTCTCCTGCCACCCATCAGGCAGTGATTCTGCTGTGTCCACAGCTAGGAGTCCTACCTGCTGTCCCTTGCTTTGCCAAGTGCCTCTAGGCTGACTTTAGACAAGCAGTCATCTCTCTCTGTGTTTTAATTCACCACTTGTAAAGTGAATAATAATGGTTTCCCACCTCCACGTGTACTAACATCTATGGTGTTTTAAGTGTTCTGGTGAGGACCATGCGCATTGATCACCTATGGCTGGTATCGAGTCATCTAACTGGTTTTCTTCACTGCTGCGTTCACAGCAGGGAGTCTTTATAAAGTGCACCCTTGTCTCAAGGTCTTTCCACTCAGATTCTGTGTCAAGTGAAAGGATTTGTTAATAGTCGGGATGCTATCTCACAGGCACGTCCCCTCACTTTTGTCACACCAAGATAGGAAAATTTCTGCTTTCAATCTGTCATCAGGTGGGAACCAAACGAGGTCTAGTGACCTTCGTATGAAAAATACAGCCAAGGCAAAGTATGCCATTAGTTTGATAAAAGGGACAAGCGAGTTCAAAGGAGCAATATAACTTGCAACAAGCACTAAGACAAATCTCCTTAATAAATGCCATGCCACAGTTGCAAACCAGCACCAGCAAGTACCCAGATGCCAGTGAGTTTCATGCTAGATAATGTAGAGGTGATAAGCACATCTCATTGCCTAAGTATTTACCAGTGAAGTATTGTTAATATGACAGCTAGCAGTGAGCTCTGGCTTCTGTAGCACTAGCAGCTGAGCAGCTATATCATTATCTGTGTCTTTTCCTGTGTAATCTTTTTAGTGTGGAATGTCTTTAATTTTAGTTTGC